TAGAATATTTGTGGAAATAGATATTACTTTACCTGATGTTACTGAAGTCTGGTTGGGCACAACTCATAATGGATATTGGCAACAAATCGTCATGAAGCATAGACCGCCTTACTGTTCTCATTGTAAGATGTTTGGGCATACACTTGATAAATGTCATAAGTTACATCCTAATTTGAAATCTAAAGATCAAGTGAGAAAGGATGGATCTAATCCCACTGAATCCCACTACCCTGGACATATCTGTTTCATCTAGAGAGAAAGCTACCACAGGACAGTTTTGGATATCGCTAAAGATCAGCCACCTACCATTCCTGCAGAAGGTGCAAAAAGATCATTTACCCAACATCGCAGTTCCTGATGAAGAACATCATACTACAGGTACAAATCCAAAAGTGTTTATACCACTCACCGTTATTGAAGAAGACTCGCTTACATGTCAAGACACACGAGTGCTTCTTTGATTCAATCAAAGATCAGCTGGTACAACAAACAGTTGCTTCTAATATTCAACATCAATATTGTGGGTACTACAGTTAGTATTCCTTCTGCTTCAGCTCTCACTGATCAGGCGAGTCAATCTTCAGATGAAGAATGGCAGGTCTATTCCAGGAGGAAGAAGAAGACTGGAGGCCGACTCGAGCTGGGAAACTTATTGGATTATACTTTGGTCATTACTGGCAATGGCACTCATCTTACGAATTTATTAGTTGGCTCCTTTCTAAGAACTAAAAGTAGAGGCAAAGGAAAATTGGGTCGTTCTCTAACTACCTGATATTACGTTTTTTTGCATTTTTTTATTTTTTTTCATATAGGTCTCTTGTAATTTTCTGTATATTCTCTTTTTTTGGAATCTTTTGTATGTGATGGTTATCGTGGGGGAAGGTTGTCATGCTTGGGCCTTCCATACAATCTATATGTATCCTCATTTTCTTTTAATATATTAGTCTTTGGGCTTTCTAAAATATATATAATTTGAATATATTAAATTTCATTTTGAAAATATACCCTTTCGGTTGATATTCACAATCAACTCGATCATCATTGGGGAATTTGGATATTCAAAATAATAATTCTTGAAACTTATTTATTTGAAAAGTGACACTTGAATATCTATGAAATTTCTTGTCAGCTCTAATCATTAAGAGGAGGAACACACTATGTGATTTGGACTTGCAAATTCATATATTTACAATTTGGATAATATTGAATTTACTAGACTCATTAACTTCAACTTTTAAAAGGAGAAAGATCAGACTAATAGAGTGAGACTTACAAACTTGCAATAAGGATAAGGCAGTCTGTTTTAAGGCATACATAATTTAATTATCATGGATTTGACTTTTGAAATATGATATTTCTTTAATTTTAAATTAATCATATTTAAAAAAAAAAACTTGCACTCTCATCAAAGCAAGTGAGTGAACGTTTAACATTTAACCCAAGCAATATTTTCGAACCAATTACAATTAAATACATGTTTAATTTGGTAAAGCACATGCGGGTATGTTATTATGTATTTAAATGATTTTCAAGAATTTTATAGAATTCACGCAACTTGCATGATCTTTTAGAATATGAACTTGATATAAAATTTATTCCAAGAGGCAGCAAGTATTCATAGTCACTCATTTTTATGAATATCTTAAAATAATTATAGCTCGAGAGTATTCAACTTGTTATTAATATAAGTCAAAAAAGCACTCACACATATTCCAAAATATTGTATGTGACTTAAGAAACAGCCTTGAATTTTGTATACCTTGAAATCATTTAAATTTTGGAATGTTTGCAAAGATTTTGTGATTTTGATTACACAATTTCAATTTGGACTTTAATACAGTAGTCTTCTGTTCGCTGGCACATTACATTGTGAATTCGGCGGCGAAAACTTATCTTTTAACTCACAATTTAAATTTTCTCTCCTCCCTTTTGTCTTTTAAAGTAATGTCCAAATAATCCAAATAGTTCAAATTGTGAGTTTATTTGTTGCAAGTTCAAGATCACCAAAAATTTGGTAGCCTCCCTACGCATTTAAAAGATTGCATCGAGGTGCCTAGTTTGCCAAACTATATAAAAGATTCGTTGGTCAGTGTCATGGGACATTACAATCGTAAAGGGGGTCTTTTAATCTACCAGCCTATAAAACGTGTGTGAGTCTTTGATTGAACTGCACAAAAATAATACGAGCACAATTTCCCACACAATATATAAAAATATATTCAATATACATATTATATATTACATATAAAGAGAGAAAAATGGATGTTTAAGAGTGAATTGAGGTCCGGCTAATTTTATAGTGAGGAGAATAGCGAGGGAAATAATTAGGTTTCAGCCTCTATTGGATTGAACCAAAGATGGAGAGGGAAGGTGAGTTCCAGTTAGGTCATGGAAAATAACGCCGCATGAACGTTGGCAAAGGGAGGTAGGTTTTTGGCTCTATCATACAAAACGAAGAGGAGCAAATGACTTGTGAGGTTTTGAAGGTCCTTGTATGTTGGAACCGGTCATTGATGTACTTAATTCGTGCAAGGGTCAATCAATAGATAAAGGAAACCCAGTAGGGCTGCATGCGGCTTCGGTGTGCTTGGAACGAATGACGAAATGAGAGATGAACAGGAGTTTCAAAGATCTAAACACTAATCCCATTATTGCTTTCCAGATCTTGAGGTCTGCTACAATTTCGGTGTCGCATGAACACTAGAGAGATCGCAGGAGGGCTACGATCGAGAGGAAGGAGTTGCAAAGGTCTTCATATGTATTGATCCCTTCATTGTTTTCCCTGTTGCCTCTGTATCACTCGAACGACAGAGAAAGATGAAGGCTTTAGTTTGAACCAGGAGACCATTTTGAATAGGGAGGCAGGTAATTTTGGAGGTTTTCGTATGTCACAATCCCTTTGTTGCTTTCCCCCTTGTCGTTGTATCGCTCGAACAAGGCAAGAAGAAGAGGGCTTCAGTTCTAACCGGAAGGGGATTTAAAATAGAGAAGCGAGAAATTTTGGAGGTTTTCATTTGTCGTGATCTTGTTATTTCCTTTCCCGCAAAGGTTTCCAATCTTCTGTGTCTTCTATGCAACTCGAATGACGGAAGAAATCACTGCACGTAGCAACCCTGCCGCTGCCATCCCAGTCAGCCCTAGTTGCGACTATATCGGAGAAGCTCACGGTCACAAAGTGGCAAGAAAGCTCGAACGGGCTTCTGATTGCAAACAGTGGAAGAAGACGAGGGCTTTGATTCGAACATGAAGGAGAAGTTTCGCTTATGTTGCATGCAATTAGAAGAAACAGAGGTAGCGAGGTCCCCCCCTCTATCTCATTCAAAAATAAATAAAAGGTAGGGAATGTGAGGCGAGTTCAGTTATGAAAACTGAAAGCGGAATTTAGGTAGGATTTTAATCTTTTCTTCTCTCTTCTTTTTATGTTTTTTTTACAGTTAACATTGATGTCGAACATCACTCCAAATAGAACGGCCATCTTCTCGAGAGAATGATTCCCATTGTAGATAAAAACCTCACCATTTTGATGCAAACTTTAGCAATTAACTTAAGCATAACATACTGCTTTCGAGCAAAACCAATTATGTTTTGCATTTTATAGGAAAAATAAAAGTGCATGCTTGCATCTCTAAAGACTAGCCAAAAAAATGGAAGTAATTAGTTTTAATTATTTGAATAATAAAAACTAAATATTAGTTACTCAAAATAAATTTTGTTTCATGTTTAAAATATTTCAACATAGTATGACTTTATAAATTGGCAATATTTATTGAAATTAAATACTCCCATTGTTTTTTTTTTCAAAAATAAACGATCATCTCCAAAAGAACATTTTACCCAATTAAATCACCTATTTTCAGTTACTTTAAATAAATAAAAATTTGAGAAAATAAATTATGTTTTTCACTAGCTTCATATCATTTGATTATTGTAATCTGACGTTAAGTGTATGCAAAAGGATTCACAAGAAAAGGCTATACAGGCAAAGAGAGAACATACCACCAAAGCTAAAACACGACGTGCAAAGCTTTTCTCAATTTCAATTGGATCCTGCGATAGGTTGAAAAAAAGAAAAATTGTCTTAAAGTTGAACAACAATAAACCGCATTAAACATTGATACCAACAAGAAAAAAATTAGCAACGCTGCAATGAGAAATCAGAAATACCTCCATATAGCACGAAATAGACAAATGGCCAACTACACTACTGGGTGATGAAGGATCAAACAAGCTGAGTACTGTAAGGTTTTTCTCGGTTCCCTGTAGACATTTCATGTGAATTAACCGAAAAAAAAAAAACATTTGTTGCTTCATAAAGAGCACCTAAAAAAAGATGATGAACAAATATAAAAGTGAGAAATGAAGAAAGTAAAACTTTAATTGATATCAACTGCTCTTTTAACATAAAAGGAAAGTATAGGGATTTGAGCGCAAACTGACAACGATCAAACAGTTGCCACAAAATTTTCCATACTGTTTCAAGTCGTACCTTGAAAAAATTTGTGTGAAAAAACTACTCATATTTCTATGGACTGGCATATTTTAAGTACAGCAATAAAAACTTAAATATTAAAATACTTCAAAAAAATCCAACCCTAGTGAATAACAAACAACTTACAAAACTGAACAAGGAAACTACGTCAAAGTTGGCACTTATTTACCTAGCACGAATATGCATATCAGAATTTGAGAATTCCGTATATTAATAAACTGAAATAAACAAGACATGGAATTATATTAAAAAAACTTTTATTTCCCAATAGTATAAAGTAACTGTAACATGAAGGAAAAGTTAATAGAAAAAAAAAAGAATAGAAAAACTAGACTAGCAAAAAGGATTGCAACCTAATATGTGTGCTTAAAAGCAAGAAAATACCAAGATGATAAAATGGAAAGTTGAACTTGAAACAAATATTAGCAAAAATTTTGCTGCCTCAGAGATAGTGTCGGTACAAGAATGCCAAAAACAAACAATTCAAAAGCACATTATACAGAGAGAAGTATATTGCAACCACAAAAAAAAAATCAAACAGAGCACAAGAGAGGTGACGCCAAAATTTATGTAATTCAGTCTTATCCAAAAGTTGTTAGCGAGACTCCCAGTCCCTAATCAAAGAAGCCACAAAGGTAATTTACTACAAAAGAAACACACCAACCCTCCTCACAACTCAAATACACCCACACATAATCAAAGAAGAAATCCAATAAACCTTCATAATAGGTTTACATCACAAAGATAAGCTTCTCAAATTCGTCAGGAAAGCCTAACTGATGGGTTTGTCGAAGCCACTAATCTTTAAGAAAATGTAATTGTTACGAAGGCCCAAAAAAGGAGGATCACTAACAAAGATGTGGAAGTCAAGGTATATCTTTCTTAAAGTTTCTGAGAAGATTCAATCATATGGGCCAAGAGGGAACTGCATTAGCATGATTCTCGAATAAATATGAGAAAATTTTAAATCATTCAACAGTAACAGAAATATCTGAAAGTAAAACATCTAAATCCACACAATAGTATTTCACTGTCCAAAAAAAAATAATGCAAAAAAATAGATTGTAAACACAGATCAACTAAAACATCTAAATCTTACTCCTGTAAACTAAATTTTTCCCACAAGACATATTAACCTATATTTTTTTTCCTGGAAGCAATCATCATTTACAACAGTGAGTTTGACTAGTGAGCAATTAAAATCTTAATATATATTAAATTACTATGTTAATACCATGTATAAATAACCAAAAGAAATATAGTTCATTACTTTATTAAACTGTAAGCTATCACTTCAATTACTTTAAGCATTTATCCTTTTTAACCACATTAAGAGTCATAACAGGAATATCATTATACCAGAAGATATCTTTGAAAATGTATCTGAAAGTAACCTCAAAAATATAACTGAATATACCTCAAAATTTGCATCAAAGGTACACCTTTACTATTTCTTTTATCATATACGGGTACGTCACATCCTCTGCTAGTACCATATAGAGTAATTCTGTCTAAACATTTAAATTTAATTGCATATCAATTTAAAATCTTTTAAAATGTACCTTCAAATGTTCTTTATTTGCCTACCATTTGTGATATCATTTCAAACTGTCAAAATACAAGACACGAATGAAATATTTATTATAAACCATTTAAGAAAAAAATTATTCATTTAATAAAACATTAATTTAATGCAAAAAGAAAAAAATAATTACTTATCTGTCTCAAAAGACCTTTGAAATACTTGTCCTTAGCACTTTGACCGCTCTATCGTCCATTAACTCAACTGTTAAATAAATTAAAATCACTAAAATTAATACATAAAAAAATTGTTGATATGAAGTTAACTCCATTTTTAATTAAATTAATTTATATAATTAACGCATAAAACTTGTAAATCTTTACATTATCCCTCTTTGAGTGTATTGGCTCACCTCTTCCTCAAAACCCAAAAATTTATCAGCTTTCTTCACACTTTCTAATAATATTAATTTAAAGAATTATATTATTTGTTTTAATAATTTACCTTTATAACTTTCTTAGATCGATTTACTCCTTCACTCGCACACTTTGTCATTTGTTCTAATAACAATATAACACTAATGTTTACCTTATAAGTTTCTCGGATAGATCTGCTCCTTCACTCGCACTCTTCATCAACTTCTCCTTTGAAGCCAAAATTTTTTATTTGCTAGAGTCCTGATATGAGATACACCTAAGCTTAATCTTTAAATAGTAAACTTATATAAATATATATAATTAAAAATCATAACTCATAATTAATTAAATTAACTTTATAAAACTCACCTTAAACCTCGACTATCTGCCCTACTCAGACGCACGCACGCACGACCTCTTCCCTCCTTCCAACACGCGAGCACTGCAGATCCCATTTCTCCCTCTTCTCCTTTAGTCGCGACACACCCAACAGCATTCGCTGCCACCACATCCTTCTTCCTTCTCTTCCTCTGCACGAGCACCACGCTGACGCCATTTGACACCACCCCCCTTCATTTTCGGCTTTGATTCCTCCCTCATGCATGAGAGGTTGGATGCACCACACGCACAAGACTTCCTCTTCTACGACGCCGACTCCAGAATTTCTTCCTTCGAACGTTTACTCCTCTCGATAAAGCCACAAACCTCCCTCCTTCGACTAGAGTTTGCGAGATTCGGCTCAACCCAGCACTACAAGAGATCAACATCGCCTCCTCTACACGCGAGCCCTGGACGACCTCCTTCTTTCTCATTGTTTCTCCTTCTCGTTCACTTGATTCTCCTTCTCTCTTTGTTAATCGGATCAAATGAGGGATAACATAGAAAAAGTGTGATGTAATCCCTGTGAAGAAAAATATTACCTCCGGACTCCGCACGAACAATTGCATGCGCAGTCCTATGAAAAGAAGCCAACAGAGCAAGATCAAAAATATTAAAAAGCGCTTATTTAGCTGACCCGACCGGAATGAATGGCCCCAACGTGGACAAAATTTAAAAGATGTGTTTTTTCGCGCAAACTCGGCCCGAATTTAGTCCCCCGAAATGTCGATCCAGACAAAAAGCGCCTTTATGAAATATTTCGACATTATGTTCTTCGGTTTTCGGTTTTCGGTGGTTTTTAGCGTTCTTCGTTGTTTCGTCTTCAACGATTTCCCTTTCTCTTCGTCGGAAAAAGCTAGGGTTTCCTGGACGGTTTCGCTTCCTCTTAGATTTCGTTTCATCTTCGGCGCAAGGCATAGTGGTTATAAGTTGAAGCATTGCGTTGTTCGGCAACCCCATGATTCAAAACTTTGGTTTTCCTTTCTTCTTGCTAGCACATAACAATGGAAGGTCGTAAGGGAACTGAAGGAGCTAGCGGTCTGCCAAAGTCTTTGAGATATTATGCTACATTGTTTATTATAAATAAAAAGATGATTTGTTTCATTGTTTTATGGCTATGTTATGATCGTCCTATTGTTGTGTTATACTTGTGTTATGGTTGTTTGTTATGTTATAGTTGTGTTATTGATGCGTTATGGTATGTTATTGTTATGTTATGATCGTATTATTGTTGTATTATGTTGCTATAGTTGTGTTATAGATGTATTATTGTGTTATACTTGCAGTGTTATTGTTGTGTTATGTTGTGTTATAGTTGTGTTACCGAAATTTTATGATTGTGTTATGGTTGTATTATGGTTGTGTTATTATTGTGTTATTGTGTTATTGTTGTGTTATTGTTGTGTTATTGTGTGTTATTTTTGTATTATTGTGTGTTATTTTTGTGCTATTTCGGTTTTTCATGTGTTATTACTCTACTAACACCGTAATAGCATCAATCACAAATTTATAACATGCAATAATATAACAATAACAAAACAATAACACAACATTAATACAACTATAACAAAATCATAATAAAATCATAAAACTTCAGTAGCACAACTATAACGCAACATAACACACCATAACACAACAATCACACCTCTATAACACATCAATAACATAGTAATAACACAACCATAAAACAATAATAACACAATAAAAATACAACACCAACACAACCATACTACATCGATAATGCAACTTTTACAGAACCATAACACATCTATAATACAACTTTTACATAATCATAACACATCTATAATACAATTTTAACACAACTTGAAGAATAATGTCTATAAAATAATGCCCTTTTTTGCATTATTGTTGTTGTAGGTTTATGAACACAAACACTTTCCATTGTTGATGTCGTCCTTCTGCAGTGATGAACTCACTTGATACTGTTAGACTCAACGTCTCCGATGAGACCATTAACTTGTTAAAAGAAATAAATGTCATTCAGTTTTTTTACGTCTGTTTATTCCCAAGATAATATATTGACCCTAGAGATCTTAGGATTTTGGAATCATGAAAGGAGAGCATTTGTAATGGGTGGGAAAGTGGTTAAACTCCACTCTAACCATTTTGCACTGTTGTTAGGCATCCCAACAGAAGAGAAGCAGATAGTTGGAGGAAAACTCCCTCATCTCGTGTAGATGCGAGAGCAATAGGAAGACTTGACAAAGTTTTCAGGAGTCTTCCACGCCTTTTGAGCAATCATTTCTTAAGTTTTTACTAACAAATTTATTTTTTCCCTCGAGCAATTTGGTATGTCCGCAAGACTTTATTCATTTGGGGAGAACATACGGTCTTTTTCCCCTTAAAACTGGTATGTTGTAATTTGTGATTTTATGATCAATCAATTGAACATTGTCACGATCAAAATAAGGTGGAATCAGTCACTTAGGTA